AGCAGCACCACCTTACCTAACCAATTTTCTGTGGGAAACACTGATTACTGTTTTTCATTGTTTAAAACTTGAGTAATACTAATTGTTCACAGAGACACAATCACTCCGTCAACAATAAAATATCCTCATTAATGTTCAATAATCACTAAGTCACACATTTATTTTGAAATTTACGAATAATATCTATTGACTTGGGTCGTGAAGATTTGTGACTTTTAACATATGGGAAACAAAGTTTGGGAAACACTGGGATAGACAACAAAATTTTGAAGCATCATAAAACTTTTAGTCAAGTAAGAGTATAAGTATGCTGCTACAAAATTACTACCCAATACCTCAAATAAGTATTACGCTTATTCATTTTTATAGGTGAAAGAAAGAAAGGGTTAATTGTAGAGATTCTCAAATGTGATCGTGTGTGTGTGATTCATGTAAGTGTGGGCATTATTAATAAGTACTTTTTTTTTTCCTCTGATATGACCAATAAATATAATCAGATCATAGTTCTTGTATATGTCTTGAATGAAGTCCAAGTGCCGCACAAAACTCAAATTAAAAACAAAATGTGATGTGATTACACTGCATCGCACAGTCCCCAGTGCATCAGTTTCTTGCACAGATCAGAGGGTTGATCTTGTTTTGGGTACTGGCTGGAAAACATTGAAAACATCACTGTATTCCATCATTTGATTTGCTATTATCAGTAAGTCAGTCCACGAGAAATGTGAAGGATTACTGCTGAATTAACTAACCTAGAGAGAGAAAGAGAGAGGGAGAAAGACCAGGAAACTTGCATAATTAAACCACACCCAATTATAAGAAAGTGTGAATTGGAGGATGAGTCTTTTGGATTACTTGTCTAGTCTTTCTTTACAACTGGTTTAACTGGTTTCACTCTTCACCATAGTCATGATTTGGACCCATTTTACTCATTTAAAGACTTGCCTCAAACTTATATATTTCTGATACAACAAGTTGATAATAATTTGGTTATTTTATGGCAAGAGAAATAATCTATCTTGTTGTTCATCATAATAGCGTGTGATTTGCAAAGCAGCAGTCACCAGTTTCACACATTGTACATTATCGAGTGGCTTCACACGGACAGCATTGTGTTCTCACCACCCCTATGTCTTATATGTTTTAAATTCCAATGAAATAACAAGCTCTATGTAAACACAGCAAGCGCCATGAGCCTATATACGTGTGCATTTCTCATTATAAACTGCACCTCCTGGACAGAGACATACCTGTCCTCTCTGAGCAGCGGAGCGCACAGTTAATTTACACTGCTGTTTTGAAAGTTAAAGCAGGTTTAAAGTGAATGGTGTTGGAGTTGTTTTGCTGAAGGGACTGTTCTCATACCTGTTTTTACTGCTTCCAGTGACCTGATTTAAATAAAGATAAACAACATATATTATTCAAGGGTGCCCTCGTGGAAAAGTACCACTTCAAAACTGAGGAGAGTTGAAGTAGAAAATATTTGCCTACAATATGTAACCAAATAAGATAATATATATATAGTTTTTATTAAAGGGTCCGTATTACACATTTTCTGATGTTATCATGTTGTTTCCTCATCACAAACAGACCTGCAGTTGTGTTTTGTTTCACTCACACATGTTTAACACACAAACCCTGCATTCTTCTCTCAAACAGAAAACACTCTGTTCCACCTTGTGATGTCATGTGATACAGGAAGTGCTCCACTGTGTTTTTAAATTCTGTAATCCTTTACTAAAATCATTTGAATAATTTCAGCCCTGAAATTGCCAATCTTTAGTGAACAAAAGGTAAAAGGTATAGTAGCTTGAAAACTACCATGTCATGAAACAAAGCATTTTGAGCTTTGGTGATGTAGACAAACTATCCTAATGGTACAGGTGAGTGCAGTGCCAAGTTTCATGTTGTTAGGACTAAAAATGCCAAAGGTCTGGTAAAAAGATGGTCACATGACATCACAGGTCACACAACACCACAGGTCACATGATGTCAGAGGTCACATGACACCTCAGGAAAGCTCAGCCAGCGACAACTTCTGAAGTTATCGCTGGCTGCACTTGGAATCCATGAGTCTTCTACGGGCTGTGTACTAGTAATAAAAAGTTACTCAAACATGTGCAAATGAAACAAAACATAACTCTGGGTTTGTTTTGAGAAGGTAACATTACATAACATATATAACACTGCTAAAAGCTTATAAAGCTTAAGATTTATAGGACCTGTCAACATTAGGATTACATCTTATATTATTTTCAGTAAAAGCAGTAGTTGAACCAAATTATTCTTATGCTAATTGCTCTCTATAATTGCAGTTTAATGTAAACCATACTGTGGGAAGTGTGGTGCAGTTTAAAAACAAATATATTTGACAACATTGTTCTCTGAATTGGTGTCATTTTGAACGTTGGTGATCTTGTCCTATCCAACTGAGTAACTTGTGACTCAGCGTTTTTCATTTACCGTCACACACCTCTTCCCCACATGACATCACACCTCAAGGTTAATCAAAACAAAGTGATTAGTGAATTAGTGAATTTGTGAATGAAAGTGACTGTAGTCTGTGGAGTTTAAGTTAAAGGTTTGAACACTACCAAAACAAAATTGGACTGTCAGTCATATTGTTTTTTTCTTTATGTTTACTACTTTCTACATTTTGGATACATATGGAAGACAGAAAAATATACAGGATGAACTAAATGGGTTTTTTTTGTGTTGTTTTTTGTTTTCATTTATATTCAAATCCTTAAAGTATCCACCCTTTGCTTTGTTGAAAGTGTCGAAATGGTTTTCACTTCACAGCTGTGGTTTGTCAGGGAGAAGAAATGCAAAAAGTGCAAACCAGGGTTCAAAGTAAAAGATGGCTATTTTTTAAGTTTAGTTTTTTTTTTTTTTATTATATGCGTAATTAATAGTTTTGACACCTTTAGTGAGAGTCTATAATGGAAATAATTGTGGAAATAAAAATAAAAAATACATGAAAAGGGGGTTATAGTTGTTTGAGGGGGGCAGGATGGGGTAGTGGGTGATAAGGGTGAAATGCCTTTAAAATGCTGTACATATGTGTATTCACTGCATGCCACACGGACCCTTCCACCCATGAATCACACAACAAAAGTGTGTCCAAACTTTTGCCTTGCATTCCAACAAAACCAAATAAAAGTTTCCATGTTTAATTTTAGTTTCATCGGTGCAGAACTGGCCTTTGCTGGAATGGACATTTTTGTAGTTGAGTGTTCAGGTCAGATTCCTTTGGCTTTGATTTCATGTTTTTCCAGTTTCTTTCAGATAATGGACAAAGAGTCTTTTTGCTAAATACCAGAAAATCTAGTTAACTCTCATGCATCAATGGGCTCACACACAAACCTTTCACAGCAGCAAGGAAGTACCCACTGTTCAGACGTAGACTTTTGGATGTCATCTGAAAGACAAAACAGGCAAATGGACAAAAGAATCTGATACTTTTACACAATATCATCAAAATTAAAGGGCCCACATGATGCAGTTTTCTGTTATAACCTCATTGTTACCTCATCAAAAACATACCTAGAGTTGTGTTTTGTTTCTTTCATACATGCATGTTTGAGTAATCCTGTTTGCATTTCCAAGGCTGAAAATGCTCAATTCCACCTTGTGATGTCATGAAGCTGTAGTTCACTGCATTGGCTCCCTGTGAGTTTCAGGATCGATCTTAAAGTTCTTTTACTGGTTTTTAAATGTCTTAATGGTCTTGGGCCTTCTTATCTTTCAGAACTGCTTTTACCCTACGAACCCTCGCGGACCCTGCGCTCCTCCGGCAGCAGCTCCTGGTCATTCCCAAAGTCAGGACACACACTCACGGAGAGGAGGCTTTTCAGTATTATGGCCCCCGTCTATGGAACTGTCTGCCAGAAGAGCTCAGGGCTGCAGAGAACGTTCATGTTTTTAAGAGCAGGCTCAAGACCCACCTTTTTAGCTTAGCTTTTGATTAAAATCTTATACTTTTACCTGTTTGTATTGTACACATTTTGTTATATGTATTCATTTTAGACATATTTTTTATAATTTCCAGTGTTTCCTCTGTAGGAGCCTCTGCATCTGGAGCAGGGGTCGGCTGTGGCTGCCGGGGTCTGTCCCATGGGCTCCTGGTGGAGGGATTGGTGCTTGGGCTTCATCTCTCCCCTGGGCCCTGTGGTGGTTCCTGGTGGTGGTGGACGTCTCTCTGCTCCTCTGATGGTGCTTTCTCAACTGGTTCGCCTGTATTCAGCCTCACATTTTAGTATAGGGGATTTTATGTATTTTACCATGTTAGTGTGCGTGTGTGTGCGTGTGTGCGCGTGCCTGTGCGTGTCTGGGTTGTTTAGTTGTGTGGGGTCGGGCAGCTGTCTGGGTTGGGTAAGTGGAAATGTGGGATTGTTTTTAATCACTGTAAAGCACTTTGTGTGACATTTTTGTATGAAAAGCGCTTTATAAATAAAGTTTGATTGATTGATTGAGTTATCTTTTACCTTTAGATCAGTAGAGATTGGTAATTCCTTGGCTGAAATGATCCAAGTGATTCTCGTGAAGGTGTATGGAGTTTAAAAAGACAACGGAGCACTTGTATACCTGCATGTATACATGACATCACAAGGTGGAACAGTGTTTTCTGTTTGAGATAAGAACTCAGCCCAAATACGCAGAGTTTGTGTGTTAAACAAACCACAAAACACAACTCCAGGCATGTTTTTGATGAGGTAACCACATTATAACATAACTAAAAAATCACGAGAGTCATTTTCACGTAATACTGGATGTTTAAAAAAATCTTATTTGATGGCAAGTTACAGGAAACTTTCACCTTTGTTGTCCATCTCATTCAAACAAGAACCACATCGGGACACACCCAAAAGTTTCTGCTGAAATCTGTTATGTTTCCTCCTTCCACTTTGAACTGAATTATACTGAATGAAATGAGCTATACTTATTAACTTGCCTTGCCTATAACTGACACTGTTATAGGATTAGGGGTTTTACACGACACCTGCTCTGCAAAGACAAGTCATATACGGTATGTACTTATGTGTACTTTTTTATATGTACTTTTACTGTACTTGTGTATACATTTTTGGTACTTTATCTGTACTTTATTTAAGTACATTTTATTGGATGCTTGTTACTTTTACTTCACTACATTTGAGAGCAAGTACTTGTTTAGAATGTATTATTACCATTTACATGTTTTCTCTTTGTTATTATAATATATTTTGATGTGTGAGTAATTTCCCTTGTGGATCAAACAAGTTTGTCTAAATCTAGGTCTGAGTCCAAGGTACCAGTACTTTCTACCCCCCTGCATTTTTTAAATTGGACTGAAAAGTATTTTTATTATAGTTGGAGACCTGCTGAAAAACCGGAGGGCTTTAGTTTGAACACATTTTTGGTTTGAGTGCACAAAAATATACAAATAAAAACAGCTAGGTGAAAAAAAATCAATTCAGTTCTTTTTATTGAGCATTTTTATTCATCAAAATCACTACATTTGACACATTTGATGCCTTACACACTGGAAAAAAACAATATCTAGGTAAATTAAAATGCAAATTAAAATTTATTTGGGTCGATTCAACTTAACAAGTAAAATGATCTACCAATGGAATCAGTGTTTTTCTTAATTCAAGCAACATTCGATTTTGATATATTTTTTTTAATCTACTTTCTACATTTATATTGAGTTTATATGTGGGGAAAAAAAATAGGGCATGTATATTGTGATTTATGTGGACAAAAAAGCACTGAATAAATTGCAAATTATTAAAAAACAAAGAAACAAACAAAAAAAAACATTCAATTTTGTTTGTTATTTTAGATGCAAAAAGTTGTTGTTTTTCTTATTTTGATTGCAGCAAGATGTATTTTCATTTTTTAACTACAAAAAGTCTTGTTCCACTGGCAGATAATTTTACTTGTCAAGTGAAATTTACTCAAATCATGATGAACTTTCTTAATTTGAGTCATCTTAACTTGGCTAGATTTTGTTTTTTGCCATGTAAGACCTCAAAATATGCACAACATACTTTTACTTTTTAGTCTTAACGTACAGTTTTAAACAGGTACATTAATACTTTTACTTAAGTAAATTTTTTTCATGTGATACTTTTACTTTTACTACATTTATTTTTTGCTCGGGTATCTGTACTTCTACTTAAGTAACACAATTGATTACTTTTTCCGCCTCTGGTATTTGTATTTTATTAGTATTACTGTGTATGGATATCGTTTTAATTTAGTCATTAGTTGCAAATTGGGTCAAAAAAGGTCAAATTTCTTGTTTGGGCAGGTTTTTCCTACATATTTGTGCATGTTCTGAGGAGGTCCGTCTTGTATTTTTTGGGTTCAGATAGTTGCTTGTCCAGTTTGGTGGGTCCTCCCTTTGGGCTGGGTCAGTAAATATAAAAGGAGACCAGCCCAAGACACGGATGAAACCACCACAAACTGCAGTATATCTTCTGGTAGTACATCGTGGATATTACTTACTAGAATTTAAGTTTTGACAAGGTTTACTGTGCTCAAATTTACTTTTCATTACATTACATTCTTTTTTAACTTAATTTTTTGCGTGTGGGTTAAAAAAAAAAAATGTATCGAGTATTTTCCCCCATCCCCGCTCATGTCAAAGAATGGGAAGGCTGCATGGATCAAAACGAGAAGTAAAAAAAACCATAGACGTTATATTAAAATTTGAGGCATGGTTTGATTTCATTCTTCGTTGCTGAAAATCAAACGCCCCAAATATAACATAACATTGCTTATTCAGTAGTCGAGATGTTTTAATTGTGTTTTTTTAAAGGTGTCCGAAAATGGGCTGGATAATATTGGGAGTAGTTTGTGTGTGGCTAATACCAGTGATCGTCCCTGCAGCCTCTGATTTTGGTAAGTGGAATGTGTGTGTGTTTTTTTTTTTTTTTTTATTTATTGCTGGCTCCATTCATAAATATTTAAGATATGTTTTATTTGTCTTTTACAGTCTGGTGTTACCTTGACCCTTCTTGCAGTAAGTGAAGCTGAACATTTTACAATTGCTTCACTTTAAAGGTCCTATACTAGACAAAACTGACTCCTGTGAGCTTTAAGCCATGTCATCAAAAACATATCTGGACTTGTGTTTTGTTTCATTCACCCATGTTTGAGTAATCCTGCATTACTGGGCTGTCTACATTCTAAAAGCTCAAAATGTTCTGTTCCACCTTATGATGTCATGAAAATGGTGGCTTTCAAGTTAACAGCTCCTGTTAACTTTTCTTCACTAGAGATTTGCAATTCTAGGGCGGAAATTGTCCAAATGATTCTAGTGAAGGTGTATGGAGTTTAAAACACAGTGCACTTCCTGTATTACCACATGACATCACAAGGTGGAACCTATATGTCTTCTGTTAGAGAGAAGAACTCAGATTAATTGCACAGGGTTTGTGTGTTAAACTTGTGAAAGAAACAAAACACAACTCCAGGTATGGTTTTGAAGAGGAAACAACATTACTAGCCAGGCTGGTGCCACCTAGAGCCTCCACTCAATTTCAATTCTCTCCAGCGACGAGGTCAGGAATCGGAATGCAGTAGACGGTCTGCAAGAACCCTGGAAGTTGTAGACCGTGCAACTGGCCAATGAGCAAAGTTAAACTCAAGTGCCTGTCTGGGTCCCTTTCATGGTACAGTGCAACAGTAAACAAAGTGGTCGAGATGGATGTAGATGAAGCCAGACATTCTGTGTTGGCAACCAAGATCAAGGATTTAAAGCTGGAACAAAGAGAACGTTTGATGAATTTTATCAAGGAGAAAGACGTTATTGCCCTTCTTCCTACGGGATTTGGGAAAAGCTTAATATACAATTTAGCAACATTAGCGGTGCATTACATACGTCACAACCAAACAGCAGCGATTGGGTAAATAAAAAAGTACCCGCCTATCGTCGAGCGAACGAATTCTCAATGCTATGAGGTCAGACGGTTTCCATGAAGTGAAACCGGCTGATGAATCATGCTACAACATCACAACATAGGCCTGAAAATAGCATAATATGGGCCCTTTAATACATTTTTTGTTCATTATAACTTAAATTATGCTTCAAGCTTTTTTCAAGGCTGTAATTAGTCTAGTTTAATAAAGTGTTTCTTATTTTTATGTTTGTGGAACTGAAATTGAAAAATGTAAATTGACTGAATGTAACCTTCTCTCACAGATGATGCTGCGTGGGTGACTCTGGCTCCTAAATACTGTGCTGGATCTCGACAGTCTCCCATTGACATCGTTTCCAAAAACGCCACGTATGATGGAAACCTGACAGCTTTAAAATTGAACAATTTTAACAGCAAAACAGCCCTGACCAAGATCGAGAACACAGGGCATACAGGTGAGGGAAACTGATCTTTCTACAGTGTACACATACTGTAAGAACTAAGAATTATACATGTATTTACAGTTAAAATTGTCTGTTGCTCAAAGTATTACAATTAATATTTTAAAGGTCCTATATTACACTATTTTCTGATCTATGTTATAATATTTCTTCATCACAAACAGACCTGGAGTTGTGTTTTGTTTCATTCACACATGTTTAACACACAAACCCTGCATATTTAGTTCTTCACTAAAATGGAAAACATTCTGTTCCACCTTGTGATGTCTTGTCGTAATGCAGGAAGTGTTCTACTATGTTTATAAACTTCATATACACCTTCACTAAAATCATTTGGGTAATTTCAGCTCAGCCGATCGCTACAGAATAAAAGGTAAATGGAGGCTGTTAATTTTAAAACTACCACTACATAACATCACAAAGACAAACAGAGCATTTTGGGCTTTGGAGATGTAGACAGACTAATACTAAAGGATTACTCAAACATGTGTGAATGAAGCAAAGCCAAACGCCAGGTCTGTTTTTGAGGAGGTAAAAACACTATAAGTTAAAGCTCACAAGAGTCAAAATTGTGTAATAAGACTTAAATAAATAGTTAAATATCCCGTACTCCCTAAATTTCCATGAGAACATCTCCACATGAGAAAGTGTTGGTAATTTTCTGGTTATAAATTGAATGTCACAGGCTAAGAATGCAAAATAGTCTAATATTTCAAGCCCAGGGTGATATCGTTTTAAGGAACACTAACTTTTGTAGTTGTGGGGAGTCAGCCCTGCTTGTCTCCATGGAGATGTGGTCATGGAATGTTCCGCAGTGGAGCACTAAATGTATACCTTGCATTTATTCAGTGACATGTGTTTTATTGTTGTTTAAAAAGAAAAAAAAAATCCTTGAAGTCACCTCTCCATAAATCTGCCCTGTAACTTGGCCAAGTGGCAACACCTGCTTGTCTCCATGGTGATAGATATGATTAATGCCATACTGTGAAACATTTCATTCCACAGACAAGCAGGTAGCAGAATTTCCACCAAAAAAACCTACATATGCAAAAAAAGAAAATCTGGTCAAGTTAAGATGATTTGAATCAAGAAAGTTTTATTGTGATTTGAGTAAATTTCACTTGACATGTAAAATGATCTGACAGTGGAATAAGATTTTTTTTGTACTCAAAATATGAAAACACATCTTGCTGCACTTAAAAAAAGAAAAACAACAATTTTTTGCACTTAAAATAAGAAAAAAAATAATCAAATGTTGCTTGAATTAAGAAAAACATGCTTATTCCATTGGTAGATAATGTTACTTGTCAAGTTGTATCTACTCAAATAAAGTAAAATGTTCTTAATTGAAGTCATTTTAACTGACCTAGATATTGTTTGTTTTTCCAGTGCAACACATAAGTAAACTGGATAACTCTTGTTGTTTTTTTCTGATTGTCAGTGAAAGTGACGTTGGCCAGTGGAGTGAGCGTGTCAGGAGGGGGGCTCACTGAACGGTATGACAGTTTGCAGTTCCACCTCCACTGGGGCAAGGGGACATCTGTACCAGGCTCTGAACACACTCTGGATGGCAAACGTTTCCCCATGGAGGTAAATATTCACTATTTATTCTATTCTTATTTCAACTTTTCAAATAGAAACTGGTCAATACCTGGAGGACAAAAGGAGTAGAAGAAGAGTGTAAGGGGGGTTGAGGGGCTGGACCTGTAAATATGTGGAACAGTGTGACTGGTCTAACAGGAATCCACCACTTCAAACTTTGTCCATGCAGCCAAGTTTGCAAAAAGAAACGTCCAGCTAGTCATATGTGATGTCATGTAGTACTTGAAATTGCAGTGGCCATTGGAGGCAGCACACACGCACAGTTTTTCGACCATAACGCTGCAAATTTACCTCTATTCTGGCACAAAGATTTCCAAAAATGAATCACTAGGAACCGAAAACAGTGCTATGAAAGCACCAAGTACATATCCAAGTAGCAAAAACATTGAACTTTGAACTGGCAAACGTCAGTGCTTAGATTTATGGGGGAAATCTCTACTTTTAGCAAAACAATAGTGATGGTGAAGAGGAGGAGATCATGCTCATGGTGGTGCTTGTTTACTGAGTTGGTTTGCATTTGATTATTTATTTTCTTTATTTATGATGTAATTATGTTGTAGAATAGGGGTGTGCAAAAATACTGCAATATCAATATATTGTATTGTTTAATGCGATGGTACAATATCAATATCATGGGCTGCTGTATCGATATATTGCCAAGAGTATTGTTTGGTATATTTTACTAAATTATTTTGTTACAGTGCTACAGTTTTGTTTGTTCAGAGGAAGGAAACTTTGTATGCAACACATTTGACATTTGCACAGTTTTGATGATGAACTTTGCACAAGAAGTGGTTTACATGAGTTAGGCTTTATTTTTTAATTGAACCATATCAAACCGATTTGAAATATATCATATCAAATCAAAAGCTCACTGTATCGAGATATGTATCGTATCGGGGCTTATATATCGAGGTACATATCTTATCGTGGCTTATGTATCAAAGTATGTATCGTATCCTGGCTAATGTATCAAGGTATGTATCATATCCTGGCTTATGTATCATGGCTTATGTATTCAGATATGTATCATATCATGGCTTATTTATCATATTGTTGCTTATGTATCGAGGTATGTATTGTATCATGGCCTATGTATTGAGGTATGTATCGTATCCGCAACTTCTTAATGATACCCGGCCCTTTTGTAGAATGTATGAATTTTAGTACTATTTGATTTCAAAATTTAAATAAAAATTCGATGTGGTAATTATGTTATTTTTTTCTTAGTTCCACATTGTGAGTCTCAAGTCTTCTTACAACGGGAACACAACAGCGGCTACAGCAGATCCAACCGGAGCTGCTGCGCTTGGATTTTTAATTGAAGTAAGTAAAGCTGAATAAAAACAAGTAATGTTAGATAAAGATAACAATTTAATCTTTATAAAAATGTCTAAATCATATGTTCATGCTTTTTAAGGTGTCTGATAATACAACTGGAGAACCTGCATCATGGAAGACTCTCACCTCCTATCTCTCCAAAATCACACAAAAAGGTAATTCATGTACAACAGTTCTGGGCATTTGTGGGCCTAAACAAGATTTTGGTTGTGGTGCCATCTGTTACAAGGGACTGGTCCAAAATATTATAATAGACGCCTGAAAATCTGACTTAAAAGGCCCATATTATTCTATTTTCTTATCCATGTAGTAATGTTGTTTTCTCGTCAAAAACATACCTGGAGTTGTGTTTTACTTTATTCACACATGTTTAACACACAAACCCTGCAGATTTAAGCTGAGTTCTTCTTTCAGTCAGAAAACACTCTACCACTACACCCTTGTGATGTCATGTGGTAATACAGGAAGTGCTCTATACACTGCGGTTCCTTGAAAACTACCAGAGAGCATTTTGAGCTTTGGAGATGTAGAAAGACTAATACTAAAAGGTTACTCAAACATGTGAATGAAACTAAACACAACTCCAGGTATGTTTTTGAGGAGGTAACAGTATTCTAATTGTAAGAATTTAATTTATATTACACGTACATCTCAGTTTAAAATTGACACACACAAAAGCTATATTTACACCATGATCTTCCCTTGGCCTACCATTGGCCTACCATTAGCTAAACTGTGGCATATTGCTGTCTAACCTGTGTCTACTGGCCTTCAGACTCTTACCACACTTGGCGAGGAGAAAATTCTCATCCAGCTCATCCAAGTTGCAGCAGCTTGAGCTGCGAAAACATCTTCAAACAAATTAGCTTTTGTCCAGTCATCAACAAACTGAATTTTCTCCTCACCATTGATTCTACCTGGACGACTGAGGGATTCTTCACACCTCACCACACTTGCTTTATGAACCTCCTCCATTGGAAGTATAGCAAAGGCGCTTGAACACTCAAAGATCATGCTATGTTCAAATCATACTATGTTGACTTTGTAAGTCCGCCCGGGCCCATATTATTGAGGGTAAAACTAAACTTCTCCCGTTTAAGTTGGTCTCCAGCCTTTTACTTCCACCCTTTCTGGGACAAGCTGAAAACATCTACAACACTAACATGGTTTAAAGCTCACATGAATCCATTTTACATAATGTAAGACCTACAGTTTACAGTCTGGAATTTTGGACATATGTCCTCATTTCCTAGTGAGCCAGAGTGTTGGAGATGTGTGAAGACACTTTTTAAATTTTCCATCCAGTCCTTGTATTTGCAGAGGTCGCTGGTGCTAGGCTAGTGCATGTCAATGGCCATAGTTAGCCTGTCACTAAAAACAGTCTTACCCACTCCACAAAACACCTGAAGCAAATCTGTTATCACACCAGACTGTCTATGTAAATGTCTGTGTTGACAGAATAACTTTAGAAGTAAAACCAATCTTGCATTTGAAGGATTTATGTCTGAGCAGCAGCAGTGAGTTGTACTTCCTGATAGAAAACTTGTCAGTGGCGGACTGATATATGAGAAAATAGTCCCTCAACATGCGACGATTCATGCGATGCAAGGTTAGTTTAATTTCAAACATTATCTGGTCTAGTCTGGCGTAATAATAAATTTGTTTCGGGTGTTTTGTGAAGTGGGTAAGACTGTTTTTTAGTGGCAGTATAACTATGGGCATTGACATGCACTAGCCTAGCACCAGTGACCTCTGCAAATACAAGGACTGGATGGAAT